GGGGGGGGTTGGGGGGGGGGAGCAGCGCTCTGCCCCGCCTCTTTTCCCTGGAGGGCACAGCAGGGGTGGGTGGGCCCCCTGGTGGCCAGCCGGGCACCCTCCCACCAGGCTGCTCCTTTCTCAGGAGGGCTATGGCCCAGCCCCTTGCCCGGCCGAGACGTACCCCTGGGGAAAGGGCAGCTCTGCACAAAGGGGCTGCTGACCTCAGTTTTTGTTTGCCCTTGCCCTGGTACCCAGGCTACCACTCGAAGGGGTGAATCGTGGGAAAGCTCACACCTTCCCCACCCCTGATGTGTGGTCCACCATCCAGGGATTTTGTCCTTTCAACCAGCAACGGACGGTTTTCCCCTTAGGGATGTTGAGAGGATGCCCTCCTCTGCCCTCACCATGGGATCCAGGCGGGGCTGCCCATCCCCCAAGGCGCTGTACCACCTCCCTGCTGCCACCCTGGGCATCGCCTGCCCACCCTGCGTGGGTGGACACAAGTGTACAGGGCGCACGTGGGCTGTGCATCCCGGGAGGACGCAGTGAGCTGGCGCTGGGGACCAGCAGGAGTGAAAGCTAAAGGCGCTGCAGTGCTCGGCCCTCCTGCTTTCTGTCTTAGCTCCCTGAGTCCCTGCGTTACGCCATTTTACAGACAGGGCGCAGCTGATGGTGCAGAGGAGCCAGGGTTGCCCGAGCTCTCCCAGCTTTCTGGAACAGACGGCGGTGCCCAGGCTCCCAGTTCCAGCTCAGCCAGAAGGACGGAGAGGGGCGGATAGAGAACTGGCATCTGAGCCCAAGCCCCGGTCCCAGCCCGTCCCTGGGCGCCCCAGGCAGCTCATGCCCCTCACTGGGCCGCACTTCCTGGGCGAGGGGGGCTGGAAATGTCTACCTTCCTTGGGGTAGATTCTCCTCCGGGCACTTACTGGCCAGGACCTGACGTGCTGTGCTGGAACGTGTGTCTTCTGACCACCTGCCCCACCCTCCCCAAAAGGCAGGCACCTTGAGGGCAGGGCCTGGTGCCCAGTCAGTGCCAGGCTCAGCAGGTGCTCAGCGAGTTTGTTCTGAGCACGGGGAAGATGAACCAAGAAACCGGGGGGCTCCCCAGCAGCCCCTCCCCATGCTGGCAGAGTCTCCCAGAGTGAGGGGCAGGGGGATGTGGTGGCACAGAGCCTCCTGCCTCAAAGGGCCCGGGGCCCCTTCTACACACACACGTGCACGCACACGCACGTGCACGTGTCCAACAGCACACATATGCCCCACCCCGGCGGGCTTGAGGAAGCCTGGTCTGCAGGAGGGTTTTGGCAGCCCCTTGAGGGCTTTGGCCCCAGCCCCTCGCCCTGCCTGGCCTGAGGGCCCTCTGTCTTCCAGGGAGGGGCAGGCGTCTGTCAGGGAGGCCGCTGCCGGGCAGCCCCTGGGGAAGCTGCTCATCCACGAGGGGTCTGCCACATCCCGTGCTGCAACCCCAGGTCTGTGGGACGCCAGAGCCCAGGGCTGAAATTCCTCCCTCCCCCCCCCCCTCACCCAGACACCAGGGGGAAACCCGGGCTTCTAACTGCCCCCGGGCCTTTCGCAGGGCCACTGACCCCACACGCCTCACTGCCCCCCTTGTGAGATGGGCGACTCCAGCCGGCCCCGTAAGGAGGTGCAGGTTTTATCTGGGGCTGCTCCTGAGCGGGGCAGGGGTTGGGGGTTTGTTCCGAATGCACCTGCAGTGCCCGATCCTCCTGCAGACGTGAGCACGTTTTACTCCTGCTCTTAAAACTTGAAAAAAACCAACGGATAAATGAGGCTTAAACGGCAAATCACATCCCAGGCCTTTCAGAGTAAGTGCTCTGTCCCCAGCACCGTGCCAGGGGCCTCCAGCTGCCCCTCCCCGAGCCCCCACTGGACAAAGCATCCCGCAGCCCAGCCCACGCCCCGCTCTGCACACGCCGGGGCTTAGGCCCAGCCTGCTGCCACGAAGGCCTGAACCCAGGAGGGCTCCAGGCGGGGGCACCCCCCACCCCGGCCCCGGCTATGCACCAGCCCTGGGGCCCTGGGCAAGCCTCCTCAGCTATAACGGGGGAAAAACCCTTCGGGTCAAAGGAGAAGGCAGAAGGCTGGGCCCCGTGAGCAGAGCCGTTGATGAAACAAGCCATTGACTCGGGGGGGG